TTTTTTTTTTTTTTAAATCTTAAAACCTTTGTGATTTGATGCTGATTTATATCTCCAATTTGTGGAGACGAGATCAAAATTACAGTGTATGGGCCTTTGTCGCTGCCTTGTGTGTGTGGATATATATATGTACGTATCTGTATATACATATGTGTGTGTGTGGTGAAGTGAAGGGTTGAAGAAATCGGGGCAGAGCGTAGAGCACCTCCATGTGCGTGATTTGCAGTAGTGATGACATATGTGTGTGCATGTGTAATATACAGACAATATATATATGTGTGTGTATTAGTTGTTTGGGTTGGGTCTGTACTGGGAGAGGGGAAAGAGAAGAAGAGGGAAAGGATTTTGAGTTTATTATATGGGTTTTACCCAATAACTCATTTAAATTTATTTGATTCAAGGGCATTTAAGTTAATTGTATTTGTCAATTTTATGTTAAAAGGTAGTAAAGTCAATTCACCATTGTTGGAGTGTCTTTGTCTATTTTTTTGAACTTGAGGGGGTGTGAATGTCCAAAAATAGGATTTTTATTTACATGTCTTTATATCAAATCTCAGGAAGTGTTGGTGTAATTTACCCTTAAAAAAAAAAAAAAAAAAAAAAAAAAAGAAGAAGAAGAAGAAGAAGAAGAAGAAGAAGAAGACTAACCCAGTTTCAAGCTTGAAGGGAAGTTCACCATCATATCCTGGCAAGAACTTGACAACTTGGCCAGAGAAAACTGATGGTACTGACAGTATCATTAGAAGAAGCAAATGGGTATATACCCATAAAAGAGAACTGAAGGACTTTGTTGGAAGCTGCTTCTGAGCAGCAGCTTTTTCTCTTATGGTCATACCTGAAATTCTTAAGGACAAACTAAGTCACTGTTGAGTGAAGATATAGAACCTTTTTTCTATGTTTTTTCTATATGAGGAGAGAAGATATATATATGTGATGAATGATCACTTTAGTGTATATATATAGATATATAGAGAGGGTGCAATATAGAAAGGGTAACGTAGTCGTAGACTCGTAGCATGTTCTTAATTGGATGGTAGTTGAATGAAGTCTCCTTGGTGCGATGTGATATCATTCGCGCGAGTTTAAGGATTAAAGAATAATAACTATTATTCTATGTGTCTCGTGAAAAGAAGCGAGACAATAAAAAATGTATTTGACTTTCCTTTTCTTTTCTTTTTTTATTTTTAAAAAAATGGTTTAAATGCTACATGTCACAAACTGCTTTTAAGAGAAGTAATTTGTTTATTTGTCTTCTTCCAGTTGACTATTTAAAATATAGGCTTGATAAAAAAAATATTACGTTTTTTTAATACCATGGTGTATGGGCTAGTCTGGGCTACTAACAAAGTAGCCACTCAATAATTTGATTAAAACATAGTATAAAATAGTGATTTTTGGAGATAAATTAAAAAGGATTTAATTCAATTACACTCCCTGTGATTTATTCAATCTTCAAAGAGATCCCCTTATATTTGTAAAAATTCAATCAGACCCTTATGAGACATTGTTAACAGACAAAAACAAATAAATGAATAACATATATATTTTTTTAAATACGTATTGTTGTCCATGTGATGAAATACTCACCTTTTTGAAAAAAATAATTTTGTTTTTAAAAAATTTAATAAAATTGAGGGTTAGAACTCTTTTGAATCAATTTGACATTTTAGGGGAGTACCGTCCATAAAATGAGTAAATGAATATACTAGAATAACATAATTATTAAAAGATTTGTTGTGACATATGATTTTTTTACAACACTCTTTGATAAAGAATTGACCCTTCATGCTCATTTTTTTTTTTTTTTTCTTGCAACAATAAAATTTCAAGTATTTGGTTTCTTTTAAAATTAAAAATAAAAATAAAAAAACAAAAATACCTTTCAACCACCAATCATTTGAATTTATAATTGTAAAGTAAATCTCAGATATGTACTGTCACTCACATATCAATAATTTGTGCGAATAATTTGAGTCGTAAAAGCCGAGGTTTTGAGGATTTATTTGACATATTTGTTTTTTAGTGCATGCCAGTTTGATTTTTGGTTTATTGTGGGCAATGAAAATAAGGGTTATCTAACCAAAAGATACCCACGTGGTTTTCTTTTACAACCAAAAATTTTAGGTGAGAAACGTTAACACTAGGTTTTTTTTGTTTTTTTTGGGTTAAAACGTAAACACTAGTTTGATAGACACTAGTTTGTTGTCTGAGATCAACCCGACGGTATGTGAGACAGACTGTTAAATTGATTTAGAACTCCCGAAAAAAAAAAAAAAAAAGGAGGAAAAAAAACTAAATTTTATTGAGTTTTATAAAGAGACTTTATGATCATTAGCTAGCAACAAGCGTGAATAAGACCCTTCAAAATAAAATATAAAAAAAAAAAAAAAAAAAAACAAAAACAAAAAGACAAGCGTGAATAAGATAGATATATCATGCGGAGTAACACACACCAAATAATAGGTTTTATTTATTATTATTATTTTGATAAATAAGAAAGGAAAAATAAATAAATAAATAAATAAAAACAATTTTTTTTAGTGTTAGGGATGAATTTTCAAATTCCACATGCTTTTATAATTTTGTACGGAGGATAAATTAGGAATATTATAAAATAGTATTGTTTAAACCTTCCACTTTTCAATGGAAGGTTGCTCTGGTCGATGACAACATAAGGTATTACGACTTTTCAGTAAAAATTACTATTTTTTAGAGATTTTGACAAGAAACTAATCAAAATTGAACATGTGACTTATTAAAAGGGCTACACCTATAGCTATTTGCACCATAGTTATCAATTGTTTTCCAATGGAAAGTTGTCGTGGCCAATTCCAATAGAAGGGTGATATATAGATTTAGATACAATCATAAAGCAACACGTGGGTTCATTTTATAAAATCCATCTGGTAAAGTAACCACTTTAGGACACGTGGCAGCTAAATGAAGCAAACAGTTACCTTTAAGTAAAATATCGTTGGACACGTAGCCGCCAAGGAAGCAAGCAGTTAACTGCAAGTGAAAAGTCATGGGACATATGGAATGCCAAGAGGTAAGCAGTTAACGGTTATTCCAATGGAACATACAAGATTCCAATGAAAGATCATGTGGATAAGTAGTAGAAATGGCAGAACATGGACTACAATATAGCTACAAGTTGAGCACAAAACCTAGAAACGTGGGACACGTGGAGGATTTCCAATGTAAGAGTGGTTATTCCCGGCCACTAGAAAATCGTGTAGAAAATAGTAGAAACATGTAAAAACATGGTCCCGCACGTGTAAGCACTACAAGAAGGCCAAGGAGTATGTGGGACACTCAGCAAAATCTGGTTAAATCAATTTAACTGCATATAGTAATTGCCAAAAAAAAAAAAAATTCTATAAATAAGGCACTATGTTACACTTCAATTATCTTTACATTTTCGCAATGTACTTTAATTATCTTCACTAATGCAAGTTATCTTTCAGCACTTTACTTTCCAAGTCATGCATAAAAATTAGTATTGTTTAAACCTTCCACTTTTCAGTGGAAGGTTGCCCTGGTCGAAGACAACATAAGGTATTACGACTTTTCAGTAAAAATTACTATCTTTTAGAGATTTTGGCAAGAAACCAATCAAAATTGAACATGTAACTTATTAAAAGGGCTACACCTATAGCTATTTGCACCATAGTTATTGATTACTTTCCAATGGAAAGTTGTCGAGGCCAATTCCAATAGAAAGGTGATATGTAGATTTAGATGCAATCATAAAGCAACACATGGATTCATTTAAGAAATCCATTTGGTAAAGTAATCACCTTAGACAGGTGGCAACTAAGAAAGCAAGCAGTTACCTTCAAGTGAAAAATTGTGAGTGTAATGACCCGGTCATTCTCTTTCTTTTCCATTTCCTCAAATTTTACGGATAATTTTTTTTTTTCATTGATTTCTTTTTCCGTGTTTTCTTTTTCCGTCATTTTTCACTATCTTTTCATTTTGCGTAACCTATCGGGTCGTGCTTGGATTTGATTCTGGCCTTGCATGCATTCATTTTACTTGATTTCCATATGATCCACATTTTTACTTTGATAGAAAAGCATACTAGATGTTTACTTTTGCCCGTAGGAGTATAAATGCAAAGATTTTGAAAATTATTTTCTTTAATTGTGGTATTTTTCGTAATTATCTTTCCATGAAATTTTGTATTTAAGGTTATTTTAAATATATCTTTTGATTGGCATTTCATTTTGGGATTTTTGAAAAATTCACTTTTTGAGTTATCTAGTGGTAGGACATTTGTGTAATTATGAAAAGTTTTTGAAAAAGTTTCTTGTTTTGGGTTCAAAATTTTATGAGGAGTTTATTTTCACTTTTTATGGACTTTTGCACTTCCAGAATATGTTTCGGATTTTTATTTCATTTATTTTGAATTTTCGGACCCCGTTAGTTGTCAATCTTGTCCAGGGCATATCTCTTTACTCGGAACTCAGTTTTCGACCCTGTTTCTTCCGTTGATCTTAGAATTCCATTTCAAAACTTTTTTGTTCACGGACCATCGGCATTTGAGCCATCTTCACTGATTTCACTTTTTAGACCTGGACGGGGCCTATTCGGGACACATTTTTGACCTATTTAGGGTTAGTGGATGAGAGAGAAAGCATCTCTAACTTTTTATTTCCTAAAGTAGCAGCCACTAGCCTCCATTGAAGAACCTTAGAGCAACCCCTTCCAAAGTATGGCCATTATGCTTCCTTTCCAACTTTCTGATTCATTTAGAAATGAAGGTACCAACCACATTATGTGGCTGGTTGAAAGACTGTGGCTTTCCAATCTTCACAGATGGAAGGATGATACACTTTCAAGTATACACCATTCACATGATGCTTGTGGGATCCTCCATCTATGTCCATCAATCTATAAGCCCATTTTTCAATGACTCTTTCTACCAAGTAGGGACCATTCCAATTAGGGGTCCATTTTTCATATTCCTTATCATTGACTCCAGGTGGAAATTTGACTTACCACACCAAGTCCCCTTCAACAAATGTCTTTGCCTTAACCTTCTTGTTATATGATCGCACGACTTTCTTCTTTTGAGCAATAATATGGTATAAGACATTAAGACGGACTTCATTAAGGTCTTCCAATTCCACCAACATGGCATGGTTATAATCTGCTGGAGTTAGCTTATTTTGGAATGCCACCCTTGTAGACCTAATCGTCATCTCCATTGGCAGGACGACATCATGTCCATATGTAAGCATATATGGTGTGGCGCCAGTATTTAATCTTTTTGAATTTCTGTAAGCCCAAAGGGCCTCAGAAAGTAAGTGATGCCATTCTTTAGAATAATTCTCAATCATTTTCTTAAGAATATTGAGAATTACTTTGTTGGAAGCTTCTACTTGTTTATTTGCTTGGGTAAAATATGGAGCATAACGGATCACTTGGACGCCACATTCAGCACAATAATCAAGAACTTTGTTTCTAACAAAGGAAAGGCCTCTGTCAGTGGTGAGAGTCTCTGGAATTCCAAACCTATGTATAATGTGCTTCTTGATAAAATTAATCACTGTTGACTGTTCATAAGTCTTTAATGGAATGGCCTCCACCCACTTTGTGAAATAATTTGTTGCCACCACAATATGAGTATGGCCATCTAAAGATGGTGGCCTTAATTTTTCAATGAAGTCCAAAGCCCACCCTCTGAATGGCCATATTTTCACTATTGGCAGCATATTTATAGCTGGAACTCTTTGGATCGGGCCATGTTTTTGACATGCAATACAAGTCTTTGCAAACTCTATGCAATCTTCAATATGCCTTTCCAACAATAACCGTACCTTCTAAGAAGCCACCTCATCTTGATTCCAACTTGATGAGCTCCATATATTCCAAGGTGTGATTCTGTTATCACTCTCATTGACTCGTTCCTGCCAAGGCATCTTAGCAAGAGTCCATCTTCTTTATTCTTTTTTTGTAGAGATCTCCATCAGTCAAAATATAGTATGGTGCCAAAAGCTAAACTCTCTTGTCCATATTAGCACTAGGATCCTGCAAGAAATGAATAATCGGTGTTCTCTAATCATCCAAGTCTAATCCATCTATATCAACATTGAAAATCTCCCATATTTTCTTAGCATGTTTGATTCTTTCTAGCTCGTCAGACTAGAAATGACTTGCCATCTTATACTGTGACTCTACCGAATGAAGAGTCCTTCTTTTGATTGTGATCTATGTCTCTTCTACACCCAGTGGGACTTTCACTCGAGAGGCTAGTTGTACTAGATCATCGGCTTCCGTGTTCAAATGTCTTGGCCAATATTTGAGTTGGAAATCATCAAACTGACATAGTAATTCCAACGCCAAAGAGTGAAAAAGCCTCAAATGCTAGTTGAGACATCTATATTCTTCAGAAAGTTGGCTAAATATCAAGTTGGAATGTAATAATCCGGATTTTTATGATTTTAAATTTATATTTATTTCACGATTTTTAATTATTAGAGATTGATTATTTAATTTTAAATTGGAGACTTGCAGTTTAGCTTATTTTATTTTATTTATTTTATTTTTATGTTACACATTTTATATATGTATGTTTGTGTAGCATTTGATGGTGGCAGCAAGCAAGGTACCAACGAAATAAAAGATAAAAAGGAAATAGAAATGGGTATTTGCGGGACTCATAAATGAGATATTTATTGGTTTAATTTTATTGCATTATATATGTATATATATATATATATATATATATATATATATATATATATATATATATATATATTTGTTATCTAAATGAAGGAAGTGAGATCAGCTGAAATGAGGAGAAAAGGAAAATGAAATAGTGATGGTATTTGTGGGGTTCACCTAATGATGTAAATGAATTTTTTTTTTTTGTTTATATATATATATATATATATATATATAATGTGATGATGGAGAAGGAAAGAGGGCAGGTGGTGGCAGGTTGGTACTGAAATGGGAAGATAAGGAAGGAAAGTAGTGGGTTGGTCACGTGGGTTTTGGTTTGGTTATAAAGGAAGATAAGATTGAAATGTAAAAGATTTTGTGCGGGCCCACTAGCAGATGAGAAAATGGGTTTTGAGTTGACATTGTACAAATATATATGCTATATATATTTTTGCTTTGTCTGATGAAGGAAGAAAGATTTACCGATTAAAGAGAAAAATGACAGTTGTGATGGGTATTGGTGGGACCCACGAAACTATTTTTTTGGGGCAAAAAGCTTTTCAACCTGAATTGTTCACGTGGGCCGACTTGTTATATAATGATTTTTTTTTATATTTGTTGGGTGAGCTGTATGGTTTGGGTTGGTGGAGTGGCCTATTTATTGAGTGTGTTGTCTGTACTGCTAAGTAAGAAAGACAGAGAAATATAGAGTGAGCATAGAGAGAAACAGAGAATTTGAGGAGTACAGGGAGAGACGAGAGTTTGCAGAGAGTGAGCCGAGAGAGATCTGAGGTTGCAGAGGAGGCCGGAAGTTTGATGCTCCGATGGTTCAGTGAGGAAAAATCTTTTTCAGTGTAGGGTTCTCTATACCTTGAATGGTATGGGATGGTTTTGCTCCAAATGGTTTTATTAAATGTTTTGATTTAATGCATATTTATTTGTTTATATACTCACATGATTATGTATATTTTGTGAAGTCTATTTTCTTGAATCTCCATGAAATTATTGTTATGGTTTTTCCTACTAGGACTTTTCGTCTCACCACCCTCCAATTTCAGGTACCGAAGATGAATAAGGATTGTTAGATTCGAGCTTAGGCTGAAGAGTTGGCGTTGCAGGATTTATTTTATTTATTTGGAGAGTTTTGTATATTTGAAGAAATTGACTTTGTATAAAAGATAGCATTTTTTTTAGATCCTGGGTATATTTTGATGTATTTGAGTTGAATAAATCGAGGATTTCATTGGAATTTTCGGGTCGTGACATGGAATTTCCAATAATCTGGACCTTATCCACCTTTAGCTCTAGCAGGATTTCCAGCCCAATGATAAGTGCCTCATATTCAGCTTGGTTGTTTGTACACTTGAAATCCAAGAAAAAAGAAAATATGGTTTTTCTTCCTTTTGGTGAAATGATAACTATTCCAGCTCTTCCTCCATCATGAGTGCTTGATCCATCAAACATGAGAGTCTAAGGTGTATAGTCAAGGTAGAGATTATCCACCTATTCACATACTCTTGAATCTATCTTGGTAGAAAGGTGATCTGCTAGGAATTCTGCCATCGCCCTTCCTTTGACTGCCTTTTTGTGGAATGTATTTGAAAGAAAACTCCATTAAGGCCAATGACCACTTTCCAATACATCCAGTGATCAAAGGCCTCGAGAGTATATACTTAATCAAATCTATTTGAGAAATGATATACATGGCTACTAGCAACATGTACATTCTCAATTTCATAACCGCATAATATAAGGAAAGATACAACTTTTCAATGGAAGTGTACCTACATTCCATTGGAGTAAGCACCCTATTTAGATAATAGATGGCTTGCTCCTTCCCCCATTCATTATTCTGGGCTAGAAGGGTTCCAATTGACTCATCAGTGGCCTATAAGTATAATCTTAAAGATCATTTTTTGATTGGAGGCATCATCACTAGAGGGTTAGCCAGGTAACTTTTCAAACCTTCAAAGGCTTGCTGGTGCTATTTTGTCCACTTGAATTCCTCAACACCTTTCAATTTTCGCAATGGGGAGAAAGCATGAGTCTTTCAAGCATGGTTGGCAATGAACCTCCTTAAATATCCAACCTGACCAAGAAATCTTTGTAGTTTTTTCTTAGTAGCCGGTGGCTTTGCTTCAATAATTGCCTTTGCTTTAATTTACTCTATCTCAATACCTCTTTAGTGGACCAGGAAACCCAGGAAGTTTCCAGCTGAAACCCCAAAAGTACACTTCAACGGATTCATCTTCAACATGTGTTGCCTCGTCCTTTCAAAAGCCATCTTCAAATTATGGAGATGTTGAACCTTAGCCGAAGATTTGATGACTACATCATCAATATACACTTCCAAAAAATGACCAATCATATCATGGAAAAATGGCATTCATGGCTCTTTGATATGTTGCTCCGGCATTCTTTAACCCAAATGGCATGAAAACTCATTTAAAGGTTCCAATGGATCCTGGACATCTGAAGGCTGTCTTAACAATATCTTCTCCTGCAATATAAATCTGGTTGTACCCGGAATGTCCATCCATGAATGAAAGAATTTCATTATTGGCATCAGAATCTACTAACTGGTCAGTAACAGGCATGGGGTATTCATCTTTTAGAGTTGCAAGATTTATATTCTGGAAATCTACACATACCCTTAACTTGCCATTCTTCTTAATAACTGGAACTATGTTAGAAATCCAATCAATATACCTGGCAATTCTTATAAAACCAACCTTGTGTAGCCTTTCTATCTTTTCTTTGACCTTTAGAACAACTTCTTGCGACATTCTTCTTAGAGTTTACTTGAAATGCTTGAAACCTTCCTTGATTGGCAGCTTATGCTCTACCAATTCTCTAGAAAGTCCTGGCATTTCCTCATACGTCCATGCAAAGCAATCTTTGTATTCATGAAGTAAGAAAATCAATTCTTCTCTAAAGGTTGGTTCTAGAAGCTTACTGATGTAAGTAGGCCGAGGGTCTTGCTCCGTTCCAATATTAACTTTTAAAAGTGGATCTTGCACTTTGTCCTTAAGATCATCAAGCTTCATTAGTGTTGCCTTTAAGTCTGTCAGCTAGATAGCATCCAACTTATCTTCAGTACCTTCTATAATCTCCAAAACATTGGTAGAAAATGAGGTACTGGCAGCTGCTGCAATCCTTTCCAGCCGTAGTTCGGCCAGATATGCTTTCAACCTGACAAGGCAGCAATTAACCGCCTAGCCAAGTATCCTATCTTCTTTAGGCTTCTCTTCCATAAAAACTTTTGTTTGAAATGTAGCATTGAGCACCGGCCTTGGGTAGAATTGTTGGCCTTGGTGTTCCTTAGAAAACCTCCCTTATGTCTTCTACAGTGAGAGTTCTTCTCATGGTGGCCTTCCTTGGACCACCCTTGCTATCATTTCCAATAAATCTAATTAGAATGAATTCTTCACTATATAACTCAGCATCTGCATAGTAAACCCTTGCCACAAACGGCCGGCTATCAGCCTCTACCACTTTTACCTCATTTCCATCCCAAAATATCAGCATTTGATGGAGTGAAGATAGAATGCAAAAGTTTAAGTTAATCCATTCACGGCCTAAAAGCAAGTTATAAGCCGTTGTGGACTCAATAACGAAAAAGGTTGTGATTGAAGTCCTATCTCCCACCGTTAATTCCAACAGTAGAATTCCTTGTGTCTTCACTATTCCTCATGTGAATTCACTAATGAATACATCAATTGGAATGATATCTTCAGGTGACTTTCCAAGCATGCGCATGACATTGACTGGAACAACGTTCAATACTGAACCATTATCTACTAGAACTTTTGCCAAAGGTCTCCCTTCTACTAGTACCTTGATATATAAAGGTTTGAGCTGTTGAGTCATGCCATATGGTGGCTTTTCCAACGCAATTTTCTTTGGAGCCATGGGGCTATTTTCTTTAATCACAACTCCCTTTGATTTCTGAAGATGCTCAGCTTCATTTTCGAAAACCTCTTCTATATGGATACCATTATTTGGTTCCATTATGAATGGCCCGAAACTAGACTGCCCAGGGCTTTCC